GGGGGGCCTTTTTTTTTTTTTTTTTTTTTTTTTTTTTTTTTTTTTGTCCCTTTTGGACATCTCTGGATCCGCCCCTGATGAATAATGACACACATTGCGGGTCAGTTAGGAATATTATTTATCTGGTTTAAACTGGTTTGAATAGATCCATACCTTGATCTATACAAACAATAACAATGCAATATTTAGGTGTCCAGCTCACGTGGCACCACTGAACTTAGTATTAATTCTACAAGATCGTGGGCCATTTGGACGTAGATTTGACAAAATGAGCGTAAAGACACATTACGACTATATTGTGGTTGGTTGCGGTGGTGTCGGAAGTGCAACCATTTATTGGCTTGCCAAGAATGGCGGAGGTAAGTGTGAAATTCATAATACATTAGGCTTACTTTCTATGTGTTCACTCTGCACTGATACGATACGAAATAATGTTTTGAAATCTATAATTTCTAAAGTATATGAAGTGTAAATTTCTAGGTAAGCCTATTTTGTTGGTAGTTGGGCATTTTGTATGCTTATCAATACTGTATTTTGTATCTTCAAATTATTATAGTATAGTATCAGTTTGTCAAGGTCATGACCTTATCCAGGACTTGTCGCGCATTTGCGGTTTTGATAATTCGTCTTATCACAACATTTATGATATATTAATACCATTTTTGGTGTGTATATCCATATTATACGAGTTACCGCACATATACTGTATTTTTTAAATATATACGTGCACTAGACGTGCATTTTAATATATATATATAATATAATATATATATATATAATATATATATATATATATATATATATACAATAAATCATCTAAGAAAGGTAAATACAGTGTTTAATAAAGGAGGCTTTATGGTTGATTCAAATACCACCAGATACACTCATGAAGCCTCCGTGGTCTCATGGTTATGACGCTCGCCTTGACAGCGAGAGGTCGCAGGTGCAAGTCCCACCAGAGGCATTTTATTACACAATTTCTTTATTCATTTATTTACAGGACTACATTCGTTGAGGGCTATGCTACGCGATATATTATTGTTTTTTATTAAACACTGTATTTACCTTTCTTTGATGATTTATTATATATAATTTAACAGTGTTAACGGCTATCTTGATTTCTAGGTAAGCCTATTTTGTTGGTAGTTGGGCATTTTGTATGCTTATCAATACTGTATTTTGTATCTTCAAATTATTATAGTATAGTATCAGTTTGTCAAGGTCATGACCTTATCCAGGACTTGTCGCGCATTTGCGGTTTTGATAATTCGTCTTATCACAACATTTATGATATATTAATACCATTTTTGGTGTGTATATCCATATTATACGAGTTACCGCACATATACTGTATTTTTTAAATATATACGTGCACTAGACGTGCA